ATTTCGTAGTGGCGAACATTAATTATGTTACGAAGATAGACTCAATGCGTGTTTGTACTTTCATTTTATACGAACATTGTTAATCTTTAGTATAATCGTTGAACATTCTTTAATTACATGTGTGATATTATTGTAAAAAATCATAGAATGTAAGATTTTTTGTCGATTTCTTAATTTGATCGTTCTTGTAACATATTAATGTATTTCGGTACTAGAGTTATATTGGCTGCTTGTAACAGAATTGACGATCGCCCATTACCTTTTATTAACATATTTGAATTTAGCTTTGGTCGTTTGATTAAAATTCTTGTTTTCTTCTGTACAGATTAATCTCTGATGACTGGAATGGCCTGATAGCGTAAAATGTTCAAAGAATGAACGGCATATTGACAAATGGCCGACTTTACAGCTTTTCATTGAAAGCTGGTAATGCCTAATGTATTATCATACAATAAACGTAAAAGATTTGCACTATATTTTTGACGTGTCATTATTGGTATTTGATACAAAATTTTCAATCATTCCATAATTTCTTAGGATCTTTTTCATAAAGAAAAACGAAGGAAAGAAGTTAAATTGTTAAATTAAATCGTGTTTCGAGAATTTTGTATCAAATCATTTCTTAGTTTGAAATGATCGAAATAAGTCATTTCAAAGGTGTGCTAATAATTCACATATAACTTGAAATTAATTCGTTGAATTTTTCACCATTTAAATAAAAGATTTGAATAACTTTCACAATTTGCATTATTTGGTTTGTGAACACTACGTCGTTCAAAGTGATTATATAAATTGTATCAATAAACCTGTTTCGTTGCTGGGATTTTCAAATATTCGGAATCATTTTCAATATTAGTACTTAGTTACAGTGGGTCAATGTTATATGTGAATAAAGAAAGTTCATAAAAGTAGTAGTACGAAAGAAATTGTAATGTACAATTATTAATATATATTATTAATAATATATAAATACTATATAATTTTTATACTGTATCATATTATGTATAATATTACTGTATGATATTAATACAATAATATATTAATAATAAATATTTAATTGTATAATATATAATTATGAGTTAATAATATATAATTTTATGTTAATAATATATAATTTCCCGAAAAATACAATTTTATCTCGTGCTAAAGGCAACCAATCCTTCCAATTACATTATGTACTTTTTAAGGAATATTATTTGCCACAATTAAATAGCGGAATATAAATTTTTCAGTATGTTATCCTGGTTTCCACGATATATACACCACAGTCACGTGATTTGTTAGTCATGACCGCCTCTACGAAGTTCAAATGTTCCTGCTATCGCGCGCTTTTGAAATGGCGGGAAGAGCTAGATCTCTCGACCAATCCGCTGATGGCTAGGCGACGCCATCATAGGGTGGGGTCATTCTCCTTTTGAACGTCGCGGCAACTGGACGTGCGAACCAATTTCTGGTACGTATCTTATCGCGTCTATAATTGAGTGAAAATTACATTTCTCCTCTTTTGTCCTATATGCAGTAGCATTAGCTTCGTTCGATTAATAAGTATTCGTATAATACATTTGTGAACATCTTTTCAACAGGACTATATTAGTCTTTCAAGTTTTTCCTCGATTTCATTTTCATATTAGACCGATGGAATTATCGGTAGCCTTCGAATCGAAATTTGAATACGATTATTCACACATTTCAATCTAATTAGTGATAATTTAATATATTTGTACTAAATTATGATTTTCGTGTGTGCAGTATGTCGATTGATCGGAAAAATCTTGTAGAAGGTATCAGACGTTAACGAAGGCGTTGGAGAACGAAGTACGGACGCCATGTTCGCTCGCCCTCAAATCTGCCAAGTTTTCGTTAAATTATGGTAATGTTGAACATCTCATATCGAAGCCAGA